TTCGATCAAAAAAGGGGTCGTTTTTGTTGCGCAGAATAAGCGTAAACAACACTTCAAAACCGCGATTTTTTCTCTTATCGTTTAATTCGTGCGGCACCCGCTTGTCGAGTTTTTTATTCTTCCTTTGCGATTCGAGTGAATGGGAATTGTTCCTGTGTTACATTAAGCTGTTCTGCAAGTTCTCGAACTTTTCTTCGCGTGTTTGCTTCCACTAAGACTTTCAATCCGTCATCGTCAAGTTCATTGTTACGTCCGCTGTCTTCCTTATCTTCCAGGTCGAAATCACCAGATAGGAATTTCCGGAACAATGTTTACGCTGTTGACTCACCAACACTACCTTCACCCAAAATTCTTCAATGTTTCTGCCGTCTATTCTGTACTATGACCGAGTTTGAATTCATGAGAGAAAAATTGACGAAAATTCGTTTTTGGCATGTAAAACCGCAAAGCTCAAAATTGGTTGAAAAATTTGACTTTTGACAAAATCTTTAAAAATTGAACCGTTGACAAAATATAAAGACATCTTGGGAAAAGCACAAAATCAGTTTTATATTAATATATGGTATGGTGAGGTACAAAAATATTTTATTGGTCACAAATACATTAAAGCAACAGATATTTTAAAACGCTCCTTGATTTCTGAGCGACCTAAAAGAAATATGTGGTCAGTGACTGATGATTTCACGTGACACCCAAATTCAAAGCCTATGCATGATAAGTTCGTGAGAGCATCTAAGATATGAAAGAGAGACAGAAAAATGAAATAGTGCAAGATTTCCGGGCAGTTCCATAATAAGTAGTCGGCCTTCTAGAAATGGAGAGTTGATGTCTTGCAACATGACTTCCTCAAAGACGATACCAATTCTTTACGTTAGTTTCTCTTAAAGTGATTTCCAAGGAGAAGGATGAAAGCGTTACTATCCTCTTAGCTTGTTTCCTCTTTATACTATAATTATGGTAGTTGTTTTTGAAATTTTTCTAAACACTCATTCTGGTAGTAATTTGGTACGTTTATTTAATTGTGTGTGAAATATTCTCCACCTTGCATCAGTTTCAACAACACATCGTCTTAATTATATTAGGCATAACACCCCTTAGAAAATCACGTAAAAATGGATGCCACTTTAACAAATATCAAATGCTTTTGAACACCAATCTTTAGCGATTTCAACAAAGACAGCGACATCACATAAACAATAAGAAAATAATACAAACCAGAGAGAAGAAGAAAAACTTGCTCGACTAGCCTGAGATATTTGCAAAACACCGGACCGCAGGTGTCTGCGATTGCAATCCTATTCTCTGTTACGCTTTCTGGAGACCAACGCGCTCACCACCACACCATGCCTGTCCTTCGTTTCGGTTTTTCTCTCAACCATGTTTTAACCTATAGAGATATCATCAATCACTCGTCAGAGGCATTAATCTGGATAGCACAAATCGGCATTGAACCCAGTTAAGCTGAATCTGTAGAATAAATCACAACGCAGTCACTTTTATTTAGTGCATATTTTTTTTCAATGGCAGGGTATGCTGTGAACAACCACGACGATGCTGAGATACTGGCAAAACTCCGGAATGTGCTACCCAATCTCGTTTATAGATGATTGCTGGTAGCATCTATAGGCTAAAGTACTCTTGAGAGGAAGGTGAAATGAAGGACCCCCATGGTGTGGTGGTAAACGCGTCAGCTCCCGGAATGGGTTTGAGAAACTTCGATTCCCACCGAAGACACCTGCGGTTCGGGGTTTTGCAAATATACTAGCATCATTGTGATTATATTTCATATCATACTCTGCCAAGAAAAAAGAATAAGTGAAAGGTAAAAAAGTGATTGAATTGTTAATTTTCTCCTAAACTACTAAGTAATTAAGCAAAATAGAGGGAGTTTAACTATCACATAGGTGGAGTTGGAATAAACAATTGAAGAAGACCACTCCTTTTATATTCAATATATGAACATAACTCGCTAAGATAAGTGCCTTACGAAATGTCCACTTTTCCCAAGCCACTTACTCTTTGGTCACGGGTTGTTTTGATAAGAGTGCCTTGAGAAGGCATAGATGACGCTACGGAAACGAACGAATGATAGGGGGGAAAGGAACTGCGTGAGAAGATCCCCGGTTAGTGACCGCGTCAGGTTAATCGAGTGACCAAACGCTACTCTACTCTGCTTTTCACGTTCATTCTGAAGCGGTCGTGGAATTCATGACGCTCCTATCTCTTTTTCTTTCATACATGTTCTAGTTCGATTAACACCTTACTTTTTGTATAGTACACATTTCCTAATGGGGATGAATTTCCCTTCATACCCAGGTGCTACCTGTCCATTGGTTTCAATGACACTTTTTAATTATAAAAATCTAACTACAGAGTTTACTAAATCAACCATGAAAATAGGATTCATTGGAGCAGGAAAAATGGCACAAGCACTGGCAAGAGGGCTCATTAATTCTGGTTAGTTCACTGATTCATTCGGTCCGCCGTCCTCTCGTGGTCAATAATATTTCGTCAGATGAAATGTCTCGTTCTTAAGAAAAAACTGGATGCGAATCTCGCGAAGCAGTTTTTGAATGGACTTAATTTTATTCTATCACGGCGATTTTCATCCATAGGGATAAATTCTGAAAACTATTTTAAACACTAATGTGGTAAAAATCTGCTAAGCATGTTCCAATAGGAACAGCCTTCTTTAGCAGATGAAACCCCACAAATATTTTCTATTGAGGAGGCGACTAGGTGTATTAGCAGAGTGATTTGTCGCTCCGCTAGCAGGCAGTGAAGGTCCTTATGAACAATATATTTGAATCCTCCCTGGTTCAATTAAAACAGACAGAGCAAAAATCAGCTCAACGTTGCGTTCATTACAGGAATGGTTTCTGTTATCAAAACGAATTGCCCTAACACTCTGATTCTGTGCTCTTTGTTTTAACCGCCTTCGCATATGTTGTCACTTTCAGGATCTTCACAAATTTAAGATATTAGTAAAAGAAGTTCTATTAAATGCTTTAAAAACTGGCCTTTCTTTAAATTCAGCGTCGCTAACCAACGCGTATTCTTTTATTAATAAGCTAATACGGCGTTTATAAAAGACTTTATTCGGCTAGCGTTTCGGTACCTTCATCTTGCTCAGAGCCGGTTTGGCGGAGTCCATTGTCCACAGTTATTCCTTCTTCCGATGTGGCTCTTCCTTATCGCATCGGGTCGAATCCTCTGAAGCACGGCGCGAAAGAAGTTGCCTCATTCGACAGTGCTAGTGTTGTTGATAGTGAAGGTCTGTTCATAATTGCTTGTCTTTCTCCGGACAATCCCGCCTGCAGCGATCGGTATCATTATTATCTACCGTGTAGCGCGACTATATTTCAAAAACCGTGTTTCCTTTAACCATTGCGTGGCTAATCGACATGTATTCTTTCACTGATAAGCGAATACGAGGTTGAAAAAAACCTTACTCGGCTAACGTTTCGGTTTCGGTTTTTTTTCCTTTGCAGAAAACATGTTTATCATTCTTCGACAATTACAACAATCGCTTAAGGATGCAAAACGCGCTTATTTCACATCATTGCCTTTTGCGTATTTGATTTACATCTATTTTTGTTTTCTATGCGACCCGATCTCACATATTGTGCTGATCTCAGCTCATTAATTCGCTTCGTCCTTTGGCATGCTTTATTCACGAAAGCCTTCGGAATTCCAAGTTGCTAGGTCTGCCACGAAAGCACTTTGTTTTGTTTTCGAATGTCTTTAAATTATGGCTCAGTTGGAGTTTCTAGAATCCAGAGATTGTTCTAGTAGAGCCTTCCCAGGTCTCCACCAAGGCTCACTACTGTTGCGGATCGCAGAGGGTTTTTTCTGAACAAGTCTAACACTAATTTTCCGATCTCACTTGGAGAGAGGATGTCGGTGGTCCGGGAAAGGGTTGAACCAAGAACCAATGCTGGCAAGGCATTAACCTTGTCTATTTATCCGTAGTGTTCCCAACACCTCTTTTTGAATTTTAACATCGGTAAATATTCGTTTGGCTCTGTGACGTGCCTCTAAAGAAAGGTTTCTTTATCTTGGCGTAAACAAGGTTTTCTGCATTCATGTTAAAAGTGATTTTATTCGTTTTATTGAAACAGACGTTATTCCGCAAAAGTGCTTTCATTACTATCGATCTCAAAATATAATATAAAGAAATGCCAGAAATTTCAAGGTGTGGACTAATGTGAAGGGGATGTACCATCACATCCGTGTTCCTTTTTGCTCACTGTGTGGGTAAGGGGTGCTCAATATCCTCGCCAGAGAAATTGAAAGCTACGATTAGGTGAATCGCCTACTTGTGTCGTCAAATTGGGCGGCTTTTATCGATTATTAATAATTATTTAATTATTTTTTGTTTATTTAATTCAATTAATTTATTTATTCGTTTGATTCGTTTGTTATTTCTGCTACTACACGACATATTCAAACAATGATCGAGATTCATACAAATAGGTGACATCGTGTTGTTTACTGGATGTACAGCTCTACGAGAAATTTGAACTCCAATAAAATTATCGGTTTTTTTCTATCCAAGGCATAACTGCCAGGATAAATTGTTAGAGGAATGCTGTTAGGAGTGTTGGTAGAAAACGGTGTTTCATATAACGCATTTTACAACTTTTCCCCTCCTTATATCTCTTTCCTTCTTAGGATGGTTTTCAGTCTTTATTAGTTCCGCTCACGTCTTCATCTGACAGGTGTGTCTCAGTTTCAGCTAAAGACACGAAAAGGTTAGTAGCAACGACATAGTAAAAACAAAGGTGAAAGAAAGGCAAAGGGAAAGGGCCTCAGTTGGTGTGGTGAGTATCACATATATGAATACGTGAGCCTCCGCCTCGGATAATCGCGGACTTGACGCCCAAATGAGGTCCCCAGTTTTGCTCATATCTCAGCATTCATGCGATTGTATTAAAGAAAACTATTGGTTGACTTGAAAAGCTCGCAAACATTAGTTTTTTCTATAGTGTGATCTCGGAATGTTCGAGAGATTTCCAACAGAAAGTTGGATTTCCGTACCTTCTCTAGTAGTTGAAAACCGCCAACTGTCTTTTTTCCATTTGTCTGCTGACTGTTTTTTTGCGGTATCATGAGGTTCAATGAAAATTTGAAATGGATTTTTGTCAGAAGAAGCGACCTTCATTCACTAACCTACCCCTAACCTTATGAGTATCGTAGAGAAGCTCTACACGTGCCCGTTTTCTACAAAAACAAGTTGTCTAAACAATTCTACAATCTTCGTTAACTTCTAAAAGTTTTCTGGATTATTTCCGAGCGGTGAGCAGGTCCTAACAGTCATACACCACCGCATTGAGCAAGGAATTTGGTATAAACGTCCAAAAGACTATTTTCTACTTCATTAACTTTTTTTTCTCTCGCTGTCTTCAAGATAGGTCAGCTGTATTATCCACGAGAGGACTCCTAAGTGACATAATGAACTGTTGCAAACGTCTAAGTGTGACTGCTTCTTTACAAGTGGCCAAATTTATGGAGTGATGCCGCGATTTGTCGGCTAAAAAATACCTCTGGTTTTTAATGCTGTCGTATCGATGGAAGCTGTAATGCTCCCAATAATCATTGCTTTAAGGGAATCAAAGGGAATTGTTTCCTTTACAGTGGATTAGGAGAAAAATTAAGAGGCCGTAAAGTAGATAAAAAACCTAGGTAGATGGCAAACCACTATTGAATGACTGCCACTAATTTTCAACAAATAGATTCGAAATGCTCATAGTGGAACGTCTATTTGAAATGAGTGTTCATAATTTCAGGAAAAATCATTCCTGAGAACATAATTGCTAGCTCGCCGAAGCAAGACATTTCATTTTTAAACGATTGCAAGGTAATCTAATCTAGATCCTTTAGATAAAAGTGTCTAGAAGATTCGCTAATAAACTGACTGTTAAAAATCTAACACCATAGATGAGCACTACAAGTTTTTATATACTAAACTGCATTATGCTTTTTTCTTCCAGGTTCTTGGGCTACAAACTACTCATGACAACACAGAAGTCGTACACAAAAGTGATGTAGTATTTTTAGCTGTGAAACCACCACTTGTTAACAAGGTTTTCCATGAAACTGAAGTTTTTTCAAGTTTTTACGCTTCGCAAAATGAGTTTTCATTGATTAGAAATATATCCATAGCTTATTTCGCTTAGGTTGCCTCTGAAATCGCCCCTATTCTAAGCCGAGAGCGGCTAGTGGTGTCAATCGCACTAGGAATCACCATTCGAAATATAGAATCGGTTTGAAATCTAGTTGTTTAAATAATTCAGTAGTTCTATGTGAATTCTGTTCTATCGCAGACAAGATATGAAATGCTGAGATATTTGCAAAACTCCGGACTGCAGGTGTATGCAGTGGGGAACGAACATGCACTGTTATCCTTCGATAGATCGATAGAACTAGCTGAGAGACAGGCAAGACGAAGGACCCGGATGGTGTGGTGGTGAAGTGCGCTGCTCCCTGGTAAGGACCGGAGTTTTGCAAATATCTCAGCATTTCATACGAGTTATATTTCGCAAAGGGTTAAGACTGTTTCAAGATATTTCATTGTTATGCAATAATGAAGATGCACTTGATGCTTTCGGATATTTCGCGCTAATGCCGCCAAATCTTGCTTAATTGATAGTCTGCTTTTAACACAGCAAAATGCTGATTGATTAAGGGACATACTTGTTTTTGAATTCAAGTGCTATGTTTGTATTACAACTATTTCTATGCAGGGTTTCGAGATTATGGTGCAATATGTCACGCACATTGAACATGAGCTTTTCATGTGCCTAAAATTATTTTCTAGCTTGTGATTTTTCCTCTCAGTTGTTGCCGTCGAAGTCTCGCGTGGTCCGCGTGATGCCGAACACTCCGGCGGTGGTCCGAGCAGGTGCTTCCGCATTTGCCATGGGCTCGGCATGTCGAGATGGTGACGCCGACATAGTGCGGTAACCACGTTACAAATAGCTTTTGAGTCATTTCTTTTTACAATAAAGGAAGGATTTTTCTAAAAATAGCCAACAGTATTGATGATAAAGGTTCTGAAACACGACACATTTCATTTCTTTTCGTAGAGCCTGTCATGTTGATACTGAGTTAGAATTACTTACTTAGTCACATAGATGACCCATCTTCGCAAATGCTTGCACTCCCAGCACTTATTTTATTTCCTTGCGTTGCAATCCTCGTTCAGAACGGAGTCCGACCTTGACTTGGCGGTAAGTTGTCTCCTCTTTTCATTGACATATCGAATGGTGGTTGAGTATTAGGCCCATTATAACCCAAACATAGCTGTACTCGAGCGCTCTCTTGTCATCACCAAAGGTAGCAACCGTCTTCTGTGGAAATAAGAGAACATTATAGCATTTAGTCGCACACTCTTCCAGAACGACAGTGATTCGTGCAAAAGCAGCCAATTACGTGAATTCTGCGACTAGTTGAGCGATGGACATTACTCAAGAACGATCTAATAGACAAAGTCCTTTACTAGGACTATGTTTTTGCACATCTCTGATGCCAAAGAAAGGCTTATAAGCCCAACTAGATGAAAAGTCACTACGCAAACCACTAGCTCTAATCGTACTGTATCCTCCATTGTTGCGATGCCAGTAAATTGACGCCTGCACCTTTGGCTAAGAAAACAGCACAAGTGGGGTAATCAAGTTTGACAGAAATTAGACTACGAAACAGGAAAACAGACTAAAAACAGACTTCGAAAATACAATGATGGTAGGAGAACGATAGCCAACAATCTTAACCTCTGGTAATGCTGGCCTTGTTATTTTTTAAGCAAATATCTCTCTGTCACTGTTTAAAAGTTCACTTCGAATGCAGTTCATATATCCCGTAACATCGCTACTTAATAATTCGCGATCACTAAATTTTCTCCACAAGTAAAGTTTTGTGGTATTAACAGTAAAGGATCGTGAAAACGTCGCAAGGGCAAGAACTACGAAAAAGTGTTACAGAATTGCATGCCTTTTTTCATGATTGATTTTTTTAAAAGGCGAATTAGGACTGGTGGTTTTGCTTTCCATAATATAGAAACAGTTAGCCAGACTGAGAAATAATATCACCATTATCGGCTATAATTCTGCCGTCAACATAATAAAGCGCAAATTTAGAGAGCTGTTGAGTACCGTCGGGTTCGCAGTCGAGGTTCCGGAAGTTCACATTGATCCAGTGACTGGTCTTTCCGGTTCGGGGCCAAGCTACGTCAGTTCGATCAATATATTCTTCGCCTTGAAAAGTATACCTTGACTACACAGTGTATATACGAGTGTACGGAGGAGTTCAGAATGTCTTTCTAGTCATCGATTATTAATGTCTAAGATGGGTGAACGCTTATTCGGTATATTTTCGCTGCTGACATTCCAGATGTTTGCAGTCATCGAAGGTCTAGCTGATGGAGGTGTGAAAGTTGGCTTGCCTCGTGACCTCGCCATTAAGCTTGCTGCACATACTCTTTATGGAGCTGCAAAAATGGTGCTGCAAACAGGTACCAAAGATTGTCTTCTTCTCAACACGGAAACAGAGAAGGATAAAGATCAAAGCGTTCAATGTCGATCAATCCCTTAGAGACGCGCTGTGTATTTGACACCATTAAGCACCTTAGAAATGTTTGAACGCACATGAGCACACATTGACTAGGGTTGGCCTATTGGCGTGTCAAGTCAGCTTAGTGATTGTACCTCCCCACACAGGCCCGTTACTAATTTGTGTGGCGGATAGTAGGACGAAAAACTGCGCGTATTACAAGGAACCCCTATCCACTGCGCACCGAACGCCCTAGCCAGTGTTAAGAACGCTATTTCACTGCTTCCAAAATGTTGCGTTTTATTAAATATTCGCAAATCAGTGGCAGCTATCATTAGTAAAGTTATGATATTTCGGATACCTTAACATATACGGAAACTATTAATGATTATGATTTTAGCAAAATAATGAACTAACTTCAGGTGTACATCCTGCACAGCTGAAAGATGATGTGCAAAGCCCTGGTGGATCCTCAATCTATGGAATGCACAAGCTTGAAAGCGGTGGACTAAAGGTTCGTTCATTTATGACAGATGAGATACAGAATTTTGCTGCATGAAAGATTACGCTCAAAAGAACACTTCAGGGGATTTTGATGGATGCTGTTGAAGCGGCTACACGTCGATCTCGTGCAACAGGAGACCAAGCGCTGCCTCGAGACATTCGAAACACTGAGTTGTAAATCGATTAACATACTCGTAACATATCCATGCTTTGCTTACGACTTTCGAAACTCGGCATTGCATGTGTGCATAAATTAACATTTTCTCTAGTGCAAGTGAAACTCTCCTATCCTCTTATCTCAACTCCAAACAATTCGCAATTTCATAGAAAATTAAGGCAATAAATGGCTTAGATTTTATATAGTGAAGGCAACACAGGACTTATTGCAGGCAGGAAACAGTTGGCGAAGAAATTTCGAAGATTGGTGAATCCATCTATGCATGCCCTGATAAAGAGAACTCCCAGATATTTATCAATCCGGTTACTTCATCGTGTAAACAGTAACAGCGGTGCCAAAAGTGCATGCTCTTTCAGTGCAATGAACACATGCAATCCATCCATTTTCTGATGACATAGCAGCTTCCTAGCAGATTTGTAGCATGAGAAATAAGTGGTTGTTGCGCAGTTTCTGCTCCACACTAAACCGAGACTTTCTCAGAGAAGTATTTGGACGATATGTAAGCTCTTTAAGGCACACCGTAACAAAGCAAATTGTGTAAAGGTGTTGAGGCTCTCACATAATCTGACTCCATAATACTAAGATCTACCTGTCTGAAAACCAAATTCCTTCGTGCAGTATTATTATGCTTTATTTTCTACAAAAATTTCCCTTCGTTCGATTCTTAGCACATTTCTCTTGAGCCTTTGTAAGATTTTTTCTGCTTCAATAAATAATTAAGGTATGAATGAGGTTTTTGTCATAAATTTTTATATACATTTGGCAGTACAATCGATAATGCGGGAGCGGAATCGCATGTAGAGATAGTGCAGTGGAAATTCATGCAGTATACGTGAATGTGTTGAAAATGGTTACACTTAATGAAGTGACGGTGCACAGTTAAGACATTAAATCTGAATTTCATGAAAACAAATTGTCAACACCAGTGAAGGCCGAATACCACGCTCCGGAAAATCGTTGAGAAAAAACCGCTAATGGAGCCAATGAGTGATAGCAGCAAGGAATCACAGGCATACGAACGACGATGAAATGTACGCTTGCGCCTTTCCCGAGATTAAGTTAACTGACCAAAAAATATTAGTTTCTTGACGGCCAGTGACTTGGAAAAAGAACTCCCTGTGTTGTCATTGAGTAAAGTACAATATCTTGACAAAAACTACGTAAAAAAGACTCCAAGAAATAACAAAGAAATATGTTAAGGATAAAAAGAAATCAAGCATAAAATCCTATTTTTCCTGCATTCCAGTCATTGTGTTTAAGTAGTGGCAGCTAGGATCTAAGAAGAACACCCACATAATGACCAAACAGAATTCATCGAAAGATGCTAACGGTGCATTAACGGCTGCTTGAACAATTGTCAGTGGTCTCCAAAGTTAAATTTGAATCCGACATAGTGACACTACCATGGCGCCGTTCATGTGGCTTCGTACTATACGTGTGTTTCCAAATTTCTGCTAAACACGCAGAACTGTGGAATCTAAATTACAGAGGACCTTCAGTGGACATGAAAAAATAGCTGTCGTATTGAATAGTCAACTTATCAAGAGCCTGAATGATTTTATAAGGTAACACTTTCACCTGTAAAAGACAAGTAGTGGAGCAACAGCGTGGATAGCATTTGTGTACGTTGTTCCGCCATACTCACTGATTCCAAAACTTGACTTCATGCCTTAAAATTAACCCTTTTTGCCATTCCTAGCCAAGTGAAATCGAAATCGTCAAAAATCTATTACGACGGTACACTATTTAGGAATAAATTTTATGCTAGGATTTAGAACAGGAGAGCTGAAACATGGAACACGCATTTCATTAAAATGCTATTTTTCAATCGTATATCTTCGACTTCAGAGTTATGCTTAATATACAAAACCATTGTGCATAGTATAACCAGAAGCCATGAAACTGGATGTCTCAGAATGCTACTGCTGAAAGCCTATTTCTGTTAATGGCTCCACCCAAAGATGTCAATGCTTTGTCACCTACAATAGTTACACTACTTGTACAGATTTTTCAGAGATGCGAAAATGACCGACAAATAACTCCGTTTTTCAACGCTCCACGATGACAATTCACGCTCCGGGCAAGGTAAGGAAAATGAATTTTGCCTTATTCTAGACGCCAGAAGTTCTTAAATGTTTTTAATTCGCTCGCTATTTAAGATTTTCCACTTCTTACGTGGTGTGAACGAAAACAATAGAACGTTTAATGTGTTTCAGTTTTCAATCTCGCTACAATGTAGTATTTTGACTATAGCGGAATCCACGTTTAAATGGAAAAACTAAAACACGCACAAAAGCTCTGATTAATGGTCACCTGTAAACACCCCCACAAGGACTTCAGCTTTTTAATCTACGCAGCCTGAAAGCTCATGAAATTGAACTCGGCTTGGTGTAGATCCTTGAGAAATCCAATTAACAAAAGAAAGAGAGACAGATTTGTTAAAGCTTCGCATAATGTCACCGCTTGTTGGAGAACTAAGGCTTTCACTTCACAAAAAATCCTCCTAAGTACTATATCTCTTACGTGAATTGTAGGCCTGGTAATGTGTGAAGCACGAGTTCTCTAATGCGAGGATGGCTTGAAAGTTACCCAATGTTTCTATAAATTATTGAAATGCACGCTTACCTTCATATGTATGAAAAACGAATAGCGTAGCATTAGCGACAAGAAGAAAAGTGATAATTTGTTTTCCAGGTTTCTTCTTAACCGTATAGGGTGATGAGCATCGCAACCTGAATGGGAACGTGCATGAAATCTTGGCGTATTGCAAATCTGCCAATGTGAGGCTTTTGATTTCAGTTACCTGGAAGTGATTAAAATGAATGCTGCTTGAACGACGACTTGTATGAGACGGAATGCAAATACGAACGCGGGTAGCAGTGAAGGGTCGATTCTGGCACGCCTCGTAGCGAGAAAAATATCCATTCCTTAAACTCAGCTGTATTTTTGTGGATTTTGACCCTTCAGCAAAAACCTAAGTATGGTTGAATTAGGTTTACCGATCACGCAGTAGACGATCTCCCCAATAAGACCAATTATGAGCAGAATTTCATCAATAACCTCGCCATGAGCACACATTCGATATTGGAGTGCCTTCATCCTTAAATCGAATCCAATCAAGGTGAAGAAAGCGGACTGGTGAAGTAAAGTGAAATGTACGTTTGTCTCTTCGCTGCAGCCTTTATAAGTGATATAACTAACTAACCTCCACAACCCTATCAGACATGCACCTAATGTCATACAAAACATGCACAAGTCCACAATTCCGAACACTAACTGTGCTCCACGACTATTCCTCAGTTCTTCAAATATCGTATACATTCCCATTGAAACAAAGGCTGCTATCAGAAATATAATGCCAGCGAAAAGGCCTGTCGAAGACGAACTGGAAACTAAGAAGCTGTTATACTGCTATGAACTTCACTATATTTTGGGCTACTTTTATTCGTTCCTCCTTGTTTTTCAGCATACGAAGGAAACGAAAATATGCAACACCACACTGTGGATTGGCTCGCAACATCGTTCTTGCTCTATTCGCGTTATTCACAAAAATTATTACTTTCTCTTTAAGAGTTCTTGTTTTAACACAGCAAAATATCCCACAGATCCACAATGGTCGGCGAATAGCTGTGGTGAATCGGAGCACTTCTGTCTTCTGTTCTGTCTTGACTTGAGGAATAGTCATGGTTGGCCGGCGTTCAGTGCATTGCTAAGGAAGGGCACAACAGATACTTAAGCTATTGTAAAGCTTCTAGCGATCAAAACGCAAAGGAAACAGCGGTTGTTGTTGGTCAAATTTATATGGATACATCACGAATTTAACTACATTAAAGAGATAACGAAATGACTGAGCACATATTTCTGCAGTTAGAATGTCTTTCGGTGTTCTAACAATGTATCATATCGCTGTTTCTGTCCTCTCAGGAAAGTCTGGCAATTCGGAAGAGTTGGAAAACTGGTTTGCACGGGTGCAGGTTTGAATAACCAACCCTAATTGTATCGAAATGTAAATATAACCCATGGCGCCGCACGTACCCTTCTTTAATAATATAAGTGATATTTTATACGAAATATATTAACTGCCTTAACTTTTTTATTTACTGCTTATTTTTTTTAACGGTAGGGTATTTTGCGAAATATAACTATTATAATGCTGAGATATTTGCAAAACTCCGGACCGCAGGTGTCTGCGGTGGCGAATGAACGCGCTATTGTCTTTTCCAGGGAGTAACGCGTTCACCACCACACCATGCGGGTCCTTCGTTTCGCCTGTATCTCATCTAGTTTTGTCGACCTTTTGCCATCAGCAATCACCCGTCAACGGGATTGATCTAGAAAGCCTAAATCGTCATTGAACCCAGTTAAGCTGAGGCTATAGTTATAATCACAATCTTAACCTTCTTATTTACTGCCTGTTCTTTTGACGTTACTCCCCTGAACGGACAATAGCGCGTTCGTTCCCCACCGCAGACACCTGTGGTCCGGAGTTTTGTAAATATCTCAGCATTATAATAGTTATATTAACTCCGTTACCATATCAATTTTGGCTTTAAAGTAAATACTCAATCAAAGATACGTGCCTGCAGTCTATTCTCATTTTGCATTTTCTTTTGACTTTTTCCTCGCCGTAATGGCCTGCGATAGCACAGCCAATGGATTTCCACTGAATGAACATGACCGCTGCACCGATTAGAGAATACCTTTAATCAAGTCATGTTAATTTCAAAATTTCCTATTTAACAGGTAGGAAGATTAGACGGTGTGAAAATCTTACTCTACAAGACACGTGGTGAGGAATGTGGCAGCATCACCGAATTGGTCTATAGCACCTAGGCAGTGCTTATATCTAACCGATGTGGCGTGCAAAGGTAATTGCGCTCTCTCGACGAGCAGTTCATAGGTTCCATTTACGACTGACCGAACCAGATCAGCTCTCTGAAGTGCCAGACATCAAAATCGTATCGAAAACTCAACCATATCTGGCTAGTAAAAAAAAACAACAGAGAAGAGCTCTCATTTCCTAGTTTCAATTCCGTTTCATAACAACATCTAGGGCGAGAGATTAGTTAAGTGGAAAGTGCAATCAGAATCAACTTCGTGTAAGCTCAAAAATATAAACAAATAATGGTTGCTATAGTACCAAGGTTAAATGACGGTCGGTTTCAAAAGTACAGTCAGATTTGATCAACACTGGTTTTTACCAGTGATGCAATACGTAGGCTAGTTGCTCAGAGATTACAAACTCTGTAAGAACAGCGAGCATCTATTGGACGTGAGCCACTGCAGCAGTTCTGCACTTGAACGTAAACAAGACTACCGACTGGCTCAACATTTGATAACACGCGCAGTGCGGAAAATCGAGCAGTGTTAAATAAAGAAAGAAGTGCATAACGGCGAAGCTAGAAAACGTTTTCTTTTTCAAAATGCATTATTTGTTTTTGCTTTATGAAGGTATCCACGGCAATATTTAAATCGTGTTCACACACGTTAGTGCGCCAATATATATATATATATGTTTATATATATATATATATATCTGTACAAACATATTTTTATATATACATATATATATGCTTAGAAACTTAGATGGGCCCTCCTTACTGGTTGTGCAGGCCCCAGCAAAATTTTTCGAACGATTAGTTTGATATCAGGACGGTGGTGGTTCCTTCAATTCGTTTACTCTTAGCTTTGCTTCCTGACGAAAATGCCGGACTCCCTCTCACCTTAGGAAGCCCTGCAAGGGAATCAATCCCTCACCGTACACCGCAACCCGACAGCCTGGTAGACCTCCCAGCCACGAAATGTATGTGTGTTTGTATGTATGTATGTATGTATGTATGCATGTATGTAAGCATGTATGTATGCATGTTTGTATGTATGTATGTATGTATGAATGCATGATTTAATATATATACTTGCTTTTAAAGTTGTATTCATTCACTTCTTGTTGAGTTTTTATGAAGATTATGAAGGAAGGTGAAACTTGTGCTCAGTACATAGAAGTATAAGTTTTGAAGGCGAGAAACAGATATGGTGCATGTAAAATTCATTCAAAAGCTCGACGCCAACGTACTATTGTGATATTATCGTCTTCTTCGCTTGACGACCGCGGTGATAGAGGAAAACTGTGAGAGGCTTGTTTCTTCGCAACTTTGTGTTCCTGAGATTTGTCCATTCAAATTCGTTCGATCGTAATGAAGACCGAATATGGGCAAATTATGTCACTTCTTTGGTGGTAATTCACGATTAAGTATATTCAATGTTCTGCAAAAATCGAATGCTCTAACCGTTTTCACAAGGACGAATCTGAACCACGTCCATAGGTTCACTGAGATCAAATGCATCATCCCAAGTTTCGCTAGTTTATAAACTCCGATAGCAATCTGCAGGAAGAAGTGCTTTTTTTAATGAAAGAAAACGAAAAAATATCTCTTAAATGATTTCTTATGCTACTGATACGCACTCACCTTCGAATTACAAAATATAAAATGCATTTGTATAAAGGTAAACAATATCGCCACAACATGCTTCGCTATACTTGAAGTCCTACAATTGCTGTCCTCAATGCAGAGAAACATTTCCAAACCAAACAATACGATGCCAGCACTGCCGAAAACTGAAAACGACTACATTCATCGAGAACAGTGGTAACTATATTTACAGTGGACCAAACATTTGTATGTCAAATAGTGCAGAAATTTTGTCATTTCTTGTCCGTTCGTTAGCCAGTCTCTCCCAGCAGACGATGAGCTTATTCGTTGCAGGCCTCCTAAGCGACCCACCCATATACTTCCCTGTAATTTCATTGCAGACTTTTCTCCGAAATGAGCCGTGAAAAACAATCCGGGTAAACGCAAATTATAAGGACGCTTTTGTTCGGCGATTAACTTCGTATCCAGCACATGGGGACACTGCACGTAGCATCGCTGCTAACTGGCTGATAATCCCTTAGTAAGGTATCTCCACGGTTTATAATACATGTATATATATATATATATATATATATATACATATGTGACACCAGAACCATATTTATTCAACTATCTCTCTACCTATTTTTTGCTGAATTTAGTTGGTTAACTACTAACACAATGCTCCTAATCGTAGATACAGGGTGCCAGCTCCTTCCCCGTTGTGATTGGTCTTCTGAATTATCCATTTCTGAAATACGTTTGGTTCTAACTAAAGTGACCTAATTATAAGGAAGTGACGTATATTTTCACCTACCTGAGAATTTTGCAGGACTTTCACTCTCACCAGCCATTTTATGACGAAGTTGTATATTTCGGGGTAAATGACAAATGTATAACAGCAAAAGAAAAACGCAATGCCAAAACCATACATGAATAAGAAGAACGTCTGAAAGAAATAGCGAAAATTTCAAAATTACCACGTTGTTTGGTTTTAACAGTTTGTTTCTTTTTATAATTTTGTACATCATCAGCAGATCCTCCAAAAGCTTACAGTCTCCGCTATCCAGATGTCGGTTTTCCATATTGGTGACACTTCAATTATTAGCGCTATAATTGTCAGTATTAACGCATACAAACACGTCAATAGGCCAATGAAAAAATCTCTGAAATTTGAAGGACGTTAAACAGCTGTGATTACATTTTTTTTATAGAGTTCCAATTCCTCTAAGAAAATGTCAAGGAAAAATCTACATTTTATCCTTGAAGCTCTGCAGCCTTACAGTTCTGCAAAGTGGATTTACTCTGGGTAATAGACTAAATGTGTGCTAGCAATAATTCCTTGTGCAATCACTTACGCAGCTTTTCTTTGCCTAGTCCATGGCATGGAAGCTCGTGGATCAGCAACCAATCCGTATCGAGAAGCATCATTACTTTTTTCCGCATTTATCACCATCACTAAACAGCAGTGGTTATTTGCTGCAAACCGAATCTTTTACAAAAGAACAAGTTGTGCCTCGCAGAGCATTAGTCTGTGCATAGGAGCTGAAAAGGGATAAAGCTTCCTACGTTCATTAACCCCAGAATGATACGACTGGAATTCGACTACATTAAGCATCGTTAGAAGTGATTAAATGCATATCTGGCCTCTACAGTGACTTTCCGTCTCCCACCGATGTGTCGAGTCAGCGCTGCGGTCCTTCTAGACAAGTCTGGCAGCAACTTGCTTTTAACTTTAGTAGTTAATGGCGCGAGGTCGAGCCAAGGAATACGCGTGTATTATACACCTACATCACTACACCATTGGTCTTCTTTAGCTAGTACATACGCTATTCATTCACGGCAAAATTGATTAAAAAATTGATATTTTTGGTTTTTAGTTCGCTTACAAACTGCACCAAAAACGACCCATTTCTCATACTTGCTAGTAATGTCATCGATTTTGTGGACCAACGATTAAATTCTTTCATTACCGCATTGTTAATAATATGTCGTTAATAATATTCGACACACCTGAAGGTGAGCTAGCGTTGCATGCGGTGATTTTAGCATCATAATATCTACTTGGAGTTCCTTTCGGTTCAAGCGAGCCAGTTATGCACGCCATTTAAAGCGAATTTGGCGAAACCAGAAGAAACTGCGTCACATAAAGGTGAGTCTAAAGACGATGCCGTTATGAATCTAACCTGAACGATGTTTAGAAAAAGACAACAACAAGCAGACGGAGGGTCACGATCACAGCAAAGTTGACGAGACCGTGTCAATGTCAATCCAGAAAGCCTGGGATAAAGTGAAAAGAAAATTAACGAGAAACATTTCGCTACAATGATATATTCAATATGCTATTATTCACTTATAAACATAAATACTATAAAACTTGCGTTCTGGAAAACTTTTATAAAGTGGGTACGAATTTATTGAACACTAAACTGCATCATATGTAGTTCTAATAGAAATATAAGTATGAATTTAATAAAGGGAATTCACTGATGATGAATGGGAATGCTTTGCGGTTGGTTAGTAGCACGGTATAGGGGATCGGCAAACAGGCAAGCAAGCACACACTGTTAGGCGAGAAGGCAATGAGGGTTAAGAGGCCAACGTGTTCCCCTCTGTGTGCTGCTCAAATACATAGCGGGCAGGTTGTGCGCTATGCCCTTAGGCTCACTGGTTAGTACCTCTCCACAGAGTGATGTTTAGAATAGAGTTTGCGCTTGGATTGGAAAACAGTGGTGGAAACGTTGATGAAGGTGATGGAAACTGTAGAAAAGATTGCTGTGAAGGTAAATGTTCCCTGCTGTTGCTTTTCGAACACCTAAAAATATCCGGAAAAGTGAAAACACTAAAAAAATGGGTTAACCACTTCTGTAATGACGAAACGAGATTGAAAAAAAATCCAACATTACTCTCCTAATCGTTCATTATGAGAGGATAGAAATCAGCCGATTATTAAATGGCTTTGAGGCACGTAGTTGCCTAATTCGAACGAATGCGAAAAATACAACGAGCAAATCTCTTCCAGGCATTTGAAAAATATGAGGCTACGCATATAGTTAATGGAAGGCATTAAAAATACTGGAAAAATCAATGACTGTGATTTCTGATGTCTCAGTAATGTAGGCTGAGACGATCTTCTTCACGGTTCTTCCCTGCGTTTCTGTGAACATAGGTCATGAAGAATAGGACGAATTATCAAAAACTAATTATATGAAAAAGTTCGAACCATGTTAAGTTACAAGGTCAAATTTAAAATTCGAACCACCTTAAACTACAAGGTCAAATTTAGAGTCATAGCCGACATCAAAAAACCAGAAGCGAGGAAAACGTACACTTATGGTAATTAAGCATGACGATGGTATTCAGTAGAATCCACTAAGAAGAATTGAACTCTGCGCTAGACTTTTATTTTCTTCACAAATTGTCTTGCCTGAAGTTAAAATAATATAATTAGGCACTAATTAGAGCTGCCATTTCTTAACTTAATAATGTGTGCAAAATGTAACAGCGAGTTAGGAAGAAGATATCCCGAATATCTTCGGTGACTTCAAAGCATTGCTGAACCAGCATGTGTGTGTATGTGTGTGAACCGAGCTCATACCGGAATATCCGGAAATGACTTGAGTCATCTGCGTTCCCCTGTGTCAACCAGTTTTACAGAGATATAATGGTGTAACACGAGCAATGTTTCTTTTCTTCGTATTCTTGTTGAGCAAACGCGAGGTGTTATTTTATTCTTTATTTACGTACAAGCTGACGTTTCGGCGGATTTCGCCTTCCTCAGGGCCTGGAAAGGTTAAGTAGACATCAATCTATTCGGCGAAACACCTCAATAACCAAACAAAGAAAATGCTAAACCAAGATTTCAATCACATTGAACACAGCCTTGCACACACACCGCTTTCTATGAGGTTTCCACTAAGTATGTCACGTAGAGACCAACCGCACAGAAATCACATGGAAGCATAATGTGCCTCTACCATCAGAATAGCAGTCTTATATACTGCCCTATATCACGCATGATAATGAGGCATTCTTCCCTGCAGTTCATTTTCGGATTTCTGGAATTAATTCAGAGTGCCTCGAGAGTTTTTCGCGCCTGTGCTCTTGATTCGCGTGCGAGGATCGTGACACATTCTTCAAAGTCCTCCCCGTTATGCCTCTGGGTCCATTTCTAGTGGATAGGTGTAGAGGAATTCTAGCTCAGGATAGGTGTAGAGGAATTCCTAGGCCTCCAAACGACAACTCTAGCGATAGAAGGGTCCCGTTTATCCTACCTTTTATCTCAAAAGATATAAGTACAGCTATAAAAGGCTGTTTAAGAAGGGCGAGTTTAGAGAATTCGGTAAGCGTAGTTGAAATACCACCGAGTAATCTTAAGCGTCAGCTAGTTCGTAACCGCTTATGTGACCGTCTATGTGCAACTCAAAATTGCATAATTTTCCCCGTGGTAGAGACGGTGATTGCATGAGCTCGGGTATAGTTTATCTGTTCTCCTGTAAGACGTGTGGTGACGAATACATTGGCGAAACGGGCAGACCCCTCTGTGTCCGCATAAAAGAACACCTAGCCGGCAAACATAGACCAAATACCCCGCTAGGCATGCATAGGACCGAGAGACATAACGGGGACGACTTTGAAGTATGTGTCACGATCCTCGCACAGAAATCGAGAACACAAACGCGCAGAACTCTCGAGGCGTTCTGGATTAATTCCAGAAATCCGAAAATGAACTGCAGGGAAGAATGCCTTATTATCACGCGTGATATTGGGCAGTATATAAAACTGCTTTTCTGATGTGAGGGGCACATTATACTTCCATGTGATTTCTGTGCGGTTGGTCTCTACGTGACATACTTAGTGGAAACCTCACATGATGAGTGGGGCGCATTATACTTCCATGTGATTTCTGTGCGGTTGGTCTCTACGTGACATACTTAGTGGAAACCTCATAGAAAGCGGTGAGTGTGCAAAACTGTGTTCAAAGTGATTGAAATCTTGGTTTAGAGTTTCTCTGTTTGGTTATCGAGGCGTTTGGCCGAGTAGATTGCTATCAACTTGACCTTTCCAGGCTCTGAGGAAGGCAAAATCCGCCGAAACGTAAGCTTATTCGTGAATAAAGAATAATAACACCTCGCGTTTGCTCAAAAAAAATACGAAGAATTACTTGATCAATGCCGAGGTTAATAGAAAGTCGGTCGTGGGAATTAAACAAAGATTTAAACCACACTGACCACAGAATAGCTTCTTTGCACACTCACCGCTTTCTATGAGTCTATCCACTGAATATGTCGCGTGGAGACCAACCCCATAGAATTCACATGGAAGCGTAATGTGCTCTTCCTATTAGAATAACAGGCCTATATACTGCCCAATATCACGCGTGATAATGAGGCATTCTTTCCTGCGGTTCATTTTCGGATTTCTGGATTTAATCCGGGACGCCTCGAGAGTTTTGCTCGCTTGTGTTCTTGATTTCTGCGCGAGGATCGTGACACGTGCTTCAAAGTCCTCCCCGTTATGTCTCTGGTTCCTATGCGTGCCTAGTGGGGTATTTGGTTTACGTTTACCGACTAGGTGTTCTTTTATGCGGGCACAGAGTGGTCTTCCCGTTTCGCCAATGTATTCGTCTCCGTGCGCTTTACAGGAGATCAAATTTCTTATCTTCTATTAATTTCCGTCGGCTTCACCTATTCTTGCACTGAAGCCACCAACAACGAATTTGTGAAACGACTTCCCGTCCCGGATTGCTTTTTCTAACTAGTTGTAAAACGTGTTCAGCTAACCCTCACCACCTGTACATGTTGGTGAGTAGCAGTTCATGATAATGACTTTGTTCCTACGCGCTAATTGGAGATGAAGGATGGCCAAACGCAATGATGGCTTTTGTGTGAGGACACTAGATTTCTATCATATGAAAAAACAAAAAATCGAATGCTTGGAATGTTTCGTAACAGAAATTTCCTTCCATGAATGCCGGCGGTTTCGTCACCTAATTTGCCTAAGTCGGTCTTCTTGCTACTCGTCTCTTGTAGCACTATCACGTTGAATTTGATGTAGCAGCATACTCAAAAAACAGAGTGAAGGTGGGTGCCGGAAAAGACTGTTTAGGCGTTAAAGGTGCACAACAAGAAGCAGTCTCAATGGAGCGTCGTGGGCGTTGCTCACTTTTTTTCTGTTTCCAATAACCCCCTTTGCAAATTCAAATTTGGTCGCCGTTCATCGGTTGTCTGCTCGCCCGACGTTCTAGACGGAGACGCTCCATGTGCGGTGTGCTGAGGTCAGACCTTTGCTAGTTTAGTAATTGTGGATCCCTTTAGTCACGAGGTTAGCCTGGGAGAAGCTTTCTTCATGTATTCACCACCCAAGGTAGACGCCGCTCCTGCTGATCAGAGGGAGATTTGCTGATATGAGACTAATTTTATACCAGTACGTTGGTGATTCCTGGCATTAGTTTGC